AACTTAAGTGGGTGATATCCCCTATGTCTGAACTGTTCAAAGTGAATATGAGATCCAGCCTTGCTGTAACATCCTCTCCTCTCCTCTCTGGTTGTATCCCTATCATGTTGGTGCATGAAGTTCTCCAATACAGTCTCCAAGTGTCTTGGAGTGTATTTACCCAAAGATCCTGGGGTCACGAAGATCTAGCTGTAGGGCTGATTGAATTCGGTTTCTTTTGGTGCTCAGTTACCCACAGATTCAAAACGTATGGACCAACATGCTGGTCAGGAACTGACTGAGAAGCTTATCAAGTTCCCTCTTGAGGCAGTTTACATGGTTGGTTCATGGTAATTCCCCTTGTCTCAAGGTAGAACCAAGAGGCACTGAAGCATCTGCTCTCTAGTACTGATGACCAGTTGTCTCTTAGTATGTTCAGTACGTTCCACGAGCACCACCCTTGTTTTTTAGTTTTTAACGGAGGAATTATGTTCACCCTTGCCAAGTTTTTTATTGAATTGATTGTGATGTACAGAATCTGGGCACTATCCTCTTCTAATATTCCAGTTCAAATTATAATGCATCTTTCTTGCCTTCCCTCTTTTAGTTTACTCGCGTTGAAAAACATGCAATTAATATAAATATTCTAAACCTGGAAAATCTAGGGAAATCTATTCAAAATTTTGCACACACACACAAGCACTCTCCTACACCTCACACACACCTACAACACACCAAACAACACACAACACACACACACACCACACACACCAGGACACACACACACACACACCACACACACACACACACACACACACACACACACACACACACACACACACACACACACACACACACACACACACACACACCACACCACACACACACATACATACATGCTTACAGAAACCTCTCAACCCCTGTCACCACATGTCACCAAACTCAGTAAACAGAAACGAACCTCACTCCATAGCCACCAGCCCCCTAAGCACTAATTCCACAATCACAGCAGCCTCCCATAATATTGTGCCCTGCCTCCCACCCTCCCAACCTGCACCTTCCTCTTCCATCTCCCAAAATACAGTAATGGAAAGGAAGCTAAAGGTATGGTACACCAATGCAGATGGAATTACAAATAAGAGCGAAGAGTGGCAAGAACGCATCATTGATGCATCACCTGACATCATAGCACTAACAGAGACAAAACTTACAGGGATGATAACAAATGCAATTTTTCCACCTGGATATCAGATTATGAGGAAAGACAGAGAGAACAGAGGAGGGGGAGGAGTAGCATTGCTCATAAAAAAACGGTGGAGTTTTGAGGAGATGGGAGGAATGGAAAGAAGGGAAACAGACGACTTCATTGTAGGAACACTTCAGACTGGTGGTCCAAAGGTGATGATAGCAGTGATGTATAACTCAACACTTAACAGCAGGAGAACAAGAGAAGAGTATGATGTGCGCAGTAGGGCAATGGTGGATACACTAGCCGAAGTGGCCAGGAGGGCTCATATGGGTAGGACAAACTTGCTTATAATGGGGGATTTCAATCATAAAGAGATTGACTGGGAAAACCTAGAGCCACATGGGGGACCAGAAACATGGAGGGCTAAGATGTTGGAGACTGTATTGGAGAATATGCATCAACATTTTAGGGATACAACCAGAGAGAGAGAAGAGGATGTTGCAGCAAGGCTGGATCTCATATTCACCTTGAATAGTTCAGACATAAGGGATATCACCCACGAAAGATCCCTTGGCGCTAGTGATCATGATGTCCTGAGTTTTGAATATCTTATTGAGTTAACAGTGGAGAATGCAACAGCACGAGAACAAAGAGAGAAACCAAACTTCAAAAAAAGGGAACTAAATAGGAATGAGAAGTTTCCTGCATGAAGTGCAGTGGGAAAGAGAACTAGATGGAAAGACAGTAAATGAAATGATGGAAATAGTAACCACTAAGTGCATGCAGGCAGATGAAAGGTTCATACCAAAGGGCAACAGAAAAAATAGTAAGACCAGAGTGAGCCCATGGTTTAACTGGAGGTGTAAAGAGGCCAAAGCCAAGTGTGCGAGAGAATGGAAAAGGTATAGAAGGCAAAGGACTCAAGAAAACAAGGAGCTGAGCAGAAGAACCAGAAACGAATATGCAGGGATAAGGAGAGAGGCCCAGAGGCAATACGAGAATGACATAGCATCAAAAGCCAAATCTGAACCAAAGTTGTTATACAGTCACATTAGGAGAAAAACAACAGTCAAGGACCAGGTAATCAGGCTGAGGAAAGAAGGAAAGAAGGAGGGGAGCTCACGAAGAGTGACCGAGAAGTATGTGATGAACTAAACAAAAGATTTAGAGAAGTATTCGCAATAGAGTCAGGAATGCTTCCAGCAAACTGTGGAGGTAGGGTGCACCAGCAGGCGCTGGACACAATACACATAACCAAGGTAGAGGTGAAGAAACTGCTAGACGAACTCAATACCTCGAAGGCGGTGGGCCCAGATAACATATTTCCATGGATACTGAAAGAGGGAGCAGAGGAACTGTACGTGCCATTAGCATCAATCTTCAGTAAATCTATCGAAACAGGGCAGTTGCCTGAGGCGTGGAAGACAACACATGTAGTTCCAATTTTTAAGAAAGGGGACAGATAGGCAGCATTAAACTACAGACCAGTGTCACTGACTTGTATAGTATGTAAAGTCATGGAAAAGATTATGAGGAGAAAAGTAGAGGAACACATTGAAAAGATTGGGCTCATACATGACAGTCAGCATGGCTTCAGAGATGGGAAATCCTGTGTCACAAATGTACTTGAGTTCTACGATAAGGTAACAGAAGTAAGACAGGAGAGAGAGGGATGGGTAGATTGCATCTTTTTAGATTGCAAGAAGGCTTTTGACACAGTACCACACAAGAGATTGGTGCAAAAATTAGAGGAGCAGGCAGGAATAAATGTGAAAGTACTGCAATGGATCAGGGAATACCTGACAGGAAGGAAACAATGTGTGTTGGTACGTGCTGAAGTGTCAGAGTGGGCGCATGTGTCGAGTGGGGTTCCACAAGGTTCAGTCCTAGGCCCGGTGCTGTTTCTTGTATATGTGAATGACATGGTGGAAGGAATAGATTCAGAAGTGTCACTGTTCGCTGATGATGTGAAACTGATGAGGAGAATACAAGTGGGAGAGGATCAGTTAAGATTACAAGGGGATATGGACAAACTACAAGTATGGTCCGACAAATGGCTCCTGGAGTTTAACCCCAGTAAGTGTAAGGTCATGAAGATTGCGGAAGGACACAGAAGACCGTAGACGGAGTACAGGTTAGGAAACTAACAGCTGCAAACGTCGGTTAAAGAAAAGGATCTTGGGGTAAGCATTATAACGAACATGTCCCCTGGGGCACACATCAATCAAATAACTGCTGCAGCACATGGGAGATTGGCAAACCTGAGATTGGCGTTTAGACATCTGAGTAAGGAGTCATTCACGACATTGTACACAGTGTACGTAAGGCCTATACTGGAATATGCAGCGCCAGTATGGAACCCTCACTTAATCAAACACATCAAGAAATTGGAGAAAGTGCAAAAATTTGCAACACGATTAGTCCCGGAACTGAGGGGTATGTCTTATGAGGAGAGGCTAAGTGAACTCAACCTGATGACACTAGAGGATAGGAGGGATAGAGGGGACATGATAACAAGGTATAAAATACTAAGAGGCATTGACAGCGTGGACAAGGATCGAATGTTTCAGAGATGGGATACAGAAACAAGGGGACACAATTGGAAACTGAAAACCCAGATGAGTCATAGGGATGTTAGGAAGTATTTCTTTAGTCTTAGAGTTTTCAGGAACTGGAATAATCTGGAGAGTGAAGTAGTGGAAGCAAGTTCCATAAATAGCTTTAAGAAGAGGTATGACAAATATCATGGAGCAGGGAGAGAGTGAATTAGTATCGACCAGTGAAGAGGCGGGGCCAGGAGCTATGACTCGACCCCTGCAACCACATATAGGTGAGTACGTACACACACACACACACACACACACACACACACACACACACACACACACACACACACACACACACACACACACACACACACAGAGCATGCGTGTGCGCTTTTGCATGCATGTGAATGAAGAAACGAACGAGTGAGTGAAATTCTCAAAATGCTTCAGCAAGCATATAGAGATGAAACAATGAGTTGGACACTAATTTGAAGAGTTTTTTGATTGAAGCAGGACTATCATTAATTTAGGATGATGAATCCTTTGGTCATTCATCAGTGTCAAAAACTGACAGCAACATTGAAAAAGTGAAGAAGGCTTTAGTGAAGATGGTCGCCAGAGTATCCAGGACATTGTAAGTGCTGTGGGAATTTCTTTGTGTTGGCAAAACATTTTGATTGAAAAATTTAAACATGAGGCGAGTGGCTGCAAAATTTGTGCCCCCACTTGCTGATTCAAGACCAGGAAGACCATAGTTTTCTGGCCAAAAACAACATGCTAGTCTTTACCCTCCCTCCCTATTTCCCAGATCTAGCCCCCTGTGACCTCTTTCTCTGCCCCAGAAATAAAAATGGCACTCGGGGCGGAGTTTATACGACATGGAGGAGAATCAAGCAGGGTAGCAGGATGCACTAGATGCCATTAGGAAAGAAGAGTTCCAGAAAGGTTTTGAGAAGTGGCAGATGTGCTGGGATCAGTGTATAGCCTCCCAAGGAGGGTATTTCAGGGAAGATAACTTCAACTAGGTAATTAGGTAAACCTATATATATTTTTTTTTTAGGCTGTCAAGGAACTTTTTGATAGTGCCTCATATCCTTGAACTATCAGGTTACCTTTTGTTAATGAGCATCTGTACAGGGTATTTTATTTGCAGTCTGTTGCATATTCTTTAATTTGCCTCAAGACAACCATTTTTTTTTTTTTTTTTTTTTAGCATTTAGAGATTTGTGTAATTGAATCTACTACTACAGTAAGGTTTGACTATGTGTACCCTTTGATAATTTCAGACTTCCAGGCGGCTTCACTCAGCTAAAGAACCTGACCGTGCTGGGCCTCAACGACATGTCCCTCACCAACCTACCCTACGACTTTGGCTGGTGAGTCTCCCTAAACTTGGTTCCAACTGAAGTTGATTACATACCTCACACCCTCTTCACACCTTATGCCCTCTTCACACTGCCCATCTCCACACCGCCCATCTCCACACCTCATGCCCTCTTCACACTGCCCATCTCCACACCTCATGCCCTCTTCACCCCTCCTTCCATCTTCACACCACATAAAAAACAGGCAACAAGGGGAAGGGGTTTGCCTGTATGTCAGAGTTGCTCATATGCACAGTTACTCAACACCACAAATGATATGGGAACCAGAATCTAGTCATTGTGGTTGTATATGAGCTGCCAGATTCAACTTCCCAACAGTTCAATGAACAGCTATTGAAACTTCCAACCCAACCCCAAATATCTTGTTATTTGATGATTTCAGTTTTAGACATTTAAAATGGAAAAACATAGTAAATAGTGTAATAGTGGAGATAATCCCAGGAGGCATCTCAAATGAAAATTCTCACACTAATGAGCTTTTGAATCTGTAATAAATTCACCTTAAACCAGCAGATAATGGAGCCAACAAGACTGGAAAATACACTATCTTATTTCCACAAATAATGATGACCTGATACAAAATATAACATTATTGAAGACAGTTTGGATCACAACCTAATCAGAGTTCTGATTTATATGCACAGGGATCCTGACCAGCAAAATGCAATAAATTACGAGGGTGCCTTCTCCAAATTCAGCTTTAACAAGAACATGCACTAGGATCAAATTAATCATGTTTGTAATAAAACATACTTGGAAGTTATCTTAAACAACATGGATCCGAACCACTGCATAGGAAGGATCAAATCTGTGGCACCTGCAGTGTGCTCATGTCACATTCCCCTAAGGAAAAAGAGAAGAGATGTAAAGTAGAAAGAGAGAGACCCTCTACATGCGAAGGCAAAGAATCACTGAGGTGCTTCAGCTCACTGATCAAATTTTTGTATTGGCCCTTGTGTAAACAAGATAGGACTTTGCTGACAGCAAAGAAATGAGTGATCCTGAAGTCTCAGTATGACTTGTGTTTAGTGAGCTGTTAATCAGATTAAAAGTCGACAATGTGAACAATTTTTTTTTATGACAGAGACTCAAAATCTTGTCAATATCTCCAAAATTTCTGACATAACCTTAATACCACTGGACTTCGAAAAAGCCAGTGACAACATTCCTATGCACTCTACCCAAGGCCCCAGACTCAAGGAACGGTGTTTGTCAAGAACTGCAAACAGCCCCTATTACGCGCATTAAGTATTCTTTGGAGAGGGAGCCTAGAAAGAGGATGGGGTAATTATTCCACTTTCCACATAGTCTCATTCCACAAAGGTGATAGCAAAGCAGTAGCAAAGAATTATAGACCAATAGCATTAACGTTATACATCATTAAAGTCTTTGAAAGGGTTCTGAGAAACGAGATTGCCAACCGCTTGAATTCCCAACATTTGCACAACCCAGGGCAACATGGGTTTAAAGCAAGTCACAACTACTGGACCACTATGACATGGTCTTTAGTGCACTGGAACACACACAGAATGCAGATGTAGTATACATAGATTTTGCAACAGCCAGCAAGAAGTGCTAAAGAATAACTGGAAAAGTGGGCAGATGGATCTTTAGCTTGAAGATGATGTATATAGATGAAGATGTAGGAAGATGTAGATGTAGGAAGATGTAGATGTAGGAAGATGTAGATGTAGGAAGATGTAGATGTAGGAAGATGTAGATGTGGAAGATGTAGGAAGATATAAATGTAGGAAGATGTAAATGTAGGAAGATGTAAATGTAGGGAGGTGTTAAATGTGGATAAATGTAGGAATATGTAGATGTGGGAAGACATAGATGTATGAAGATGTAGATGTGGGAAGGCATAGATGTATGAAGATGTAGGTGTGGGAAGACATAGATGTATGAAGATGTAGATGTGGGAAGGCATAGATGTATGAAGATGTAGGTTTGGGAAGATGTAGATGTATGAAGATGTAGGTGTGGGAAGATGTAGGTGTGGGAAGATGTAGGTGTGGGAAGACATAGATGTATGAAGATGTAGATGTGGGAAGATGTAAATGTATGAAGATGTAGGTGTGGGAAGATGTAGATGTGGGAAGGTGTGGATGTGGGAAGGTGTGGATGTGGGAAAGTGTGGATGTGGGAAGGTGTGGATGTGGGAAGGTGTGGATGTGGGATAGTGTGGATGTGGGAAGGTGTGGTTGTGGGAAGGTGTGGTTGTGGGAAGGTGTGGATGTGGGAAGGTGTGGATGTGGGAAGGTGTGGATGTGAGAAGGTGTGGATGTGGGAAGGTGTGGATGTGGGAAGGTGTGGATGTGAGAAGGTGTGGATGTGGGAAGGTGTGGATGTGGGAAGGTGTAGGTGTGGGAGGATGTGCATGTTGGAAAATGTAGATGTTGGAAGGTGTAAATGTGGGAAGATGTGGATGTTGGAAGGTGTAGATGTATGACTGTGTAGGTATGGGAAGATGGAGAGGTGGGAAGGTGTAGATCTGATGAAAGATGTAGATGTGGGAAGATGTAGATGTGGGAAGGTGTAGATATGGAAAGATGTAGATGTGGGAAGATGTAGATATGGAAAGATGTAGATGTGGGAAGATGTAGATATGGAAAGATGTAGATGTGGGAAGATGTAAATGTGGGAAGATGTAAATGTATTGGGGAAATGGTGTAAGAAGACATAAATATAGGAAGGAGGAAATGGCCAGAGTTGGTGGGAACATTAATTTAATAATTAGTAGGTGGTAGGAGGCAGTGATGGACAGAGGGTTCGACTGACAATGTGTGGTCCAGGAAGTCAGAATTGAGTGTAGGGAGTCAGAAACTGGCAGAGAGACAGACAGAGGCAAGTGGATTGAATTTATAAACACAGGAATTGAGATGGAATGAGGTGGAGATGCAGATAGACAAATAAACGAGATACAGCGGACCCCCGCCTTACGATATTAATCCGTTCCTGAGAGCTCATCGTAAGCCGAAATTATCGTTAGCCAAATTAATTTTCCCCATAAGAAATAATGGAAATCAAATTAATCCGTTCCTGACACCCCAAAGTATGAATTTTTTTTTTTTTTACCACATGAAATATTAATTTTAATACACACAAACTGAAGAAGACATGCACAATTACTACTCTACTAAGAATAGAATACATGACACTTACCTTTATTGAAGATTGGTGATGATTGAGGGGATGGGAGGAGAGGAGTGTGGAAGTTATTGTTTAGAAGGGGAATTCCCTTCCATTAGGACTTGAGGTAGCAAGTCCTTTTCCGGGGTTTCTTCCCTTCTTCTTTTAGCCCTTTCAGGGTCCACAGGGCCTCTCAGAGACTTGTTCTCAGAGTCCCCCAAATTTAAAAAAAAAAAAAAAAAATTCTTATGAAAAGATAGAGAATCTTTTCCTGATCATAATGACACCAAAAGTATGAAATTTGATGGAAAACTTACGGAATTATGCTCTCGCGAAGTTAGCGGTCTCGACGGTGTTTACGCATCATCGATTTTGCCCACTTTGAGCTCTATTTTCGGCCAATTCCCGTGTACTAGTCAACAAAAATCATACCTATTTCGCTAGAACTCCTTTTTTCTATCAAATGAGTACAAGAAACCACCCATTTACAGATTTCAACTATCCAATACAGTGGTCAGAATTTAGCAATTTTGCCAGTTTTACACAAATTTCAAAAGATGCCAATTTCCAAATAGGGTCCAGAATAAACAAGAAAGACATTCCTGGCACTAAAATAACATTTCCTCTGTTCATTAGTGACGTCCCCATGCCCCTCTTACATTCTTCTGCTTTCCATTTTGAATTTTTATTCTTACAAAAAATAGAAGATTTACTGTTACGCAGACTACTGCATTAGTGTAGAAATGGTATAAATAATATCGGTGCACTTGTGAAAGAATATTAGACTCGCCAGTTGACGTGTATTGGACACTTAGCATGATTTGTTTACTTTTGAACTTTGGTAAAAAATCGAACATTTCTGCTACTTTGAGCTCAGTTTCAAGATACTTTTCATTGTAAAACCAGTCAAAATCATCTCAATTTCTGTAATATGTCTTCCATTCTGTCAAATGAGACCAGGAAAACTAGAATGCAACAATAAATACCATACAAAAATACAGTGCAAAGTCGCTGTTTTAATCCAAAGACACGGTCAAAGTTTTTTTTTTTTCTCATTACGCACTGTGTGCTGCAGGATTTTTTTTTTTTTTACTGCGCACACTGACCACATAGACCCATTCTTTCATATGTAGGCCTACCAGCTTTCACTAGATTTGAAGGCTCTAGAATTTATGAGTGCTAGTACGTCAAGGACCCTGGCATGTAAGCCGTACTAGTACAGCCGAAACCCTGAAAGGGTTAATGCCACTAGGACCAGCTTGAGAGTCACTGGATCTCTGTCGCACAACAAATCTGTCCATAGAGCTCTGTACCTCCTGTTCCTTTAAGACTTTCCTAAAATGGGCCATAACATTGTCATTGTGCAGGTTGCCAACACGGCTTGCAGTAGCTGTGTCAGGGTGATTTTGATCCATAAAGGTTTGCAGTTCAACCCACTTTGCACACATTTCCTTAATCTCTTCTTTCAATTCCATACTAATTCTCGCCCTTTTTACCACAGGGATGGCACTAGAAGCTTTCTTGGGGTCCTTGGTGACTTATTTTGCAGTTACAAGCACTAAAAACACTGGGATCACGTGAAATGTACCGAATGTATGTGTAGATGCGACCGCACTGGCTGGCTTGTAAACACTGGCGCTTAGGCCACACGTGGGATGTGTCCCGGATGAATCATGTAAGGCGAGTTTTTTATCGTGAGGCGAGGCAAAATTTTTGCGTTCAAATGCTTCGTATGGCGGATTTAACGTAACGCGATGCGTTCGTAAGGCGGGGGTCCACTGTATATGATTAGTGGGATTAAGGGCTAATACAATACTGCACTTGAGAATGGTGTAGCACAATTTTTTTTTTTTAACACA